CCCCCCCCCCCCCCCCCCCCCCCCCCGCCCCCCCCCCCCCCCCACCCCCCCCCCCCCCCCCCCCCCCCCCCCCACCCCCCCCCCCCCCCCCCCCCCCCCCCCCCCCCCCCCCCCCCCCCCCCCCCCCCCCCGCCCCCCCCCCCCCCCCCCCCCCCCCCCCCGGCCCCCCCCCCCCCCCCCTAAGTATTTTGACTTCATTTTAATGAAACTCGTCATGAAGCTTTTGATTTCCAAAGAGAACAGTGGTTTGATTGGAGTACAAAACTATTTTGTTACTTTAACACTTATTAGTAGTTGGTTCGTACAAAACTGAAAATATTCCTTGTAAAACAAAAAAAATCGAGTTATTAAAATATCTCTAAGAAAAACACTATCTTTAAAACCCTTAACTTCTCGTTTCAAAATAGTGAACGATGAACGAAAATGAAAAATGTTAGATCCAGCATGATCGACGAGAACGCTTCCGTCAATGTTTCTCAGAGAAGTTTTGTATGACGGTTAGAGAAGTGAAAAACATTTTTTCACAAAGTTATTTTAAAGTAATGCAAAACAGTGAATGATCCTTCACTTGCAATATGGTGGAATAAAACGTGCTTCGGGACACGCCTCACATAGCTTTTTCGTGTCTGTGGGATTCATTATTAATTTATGAACTCCCATCGGTGTCTCGTAAAAGACCGATTCAGCTGAGAATGTTCGAGCAATATGCTCTGGTGCTACTGAAGCGTTGACTTTCGGCAAATGAACTGCATACCACACATCCTCGGGTAAAGACGAATCATATGTCATTTGTTTAAGTAACTCCAATGTTTTACTCCTTGAACGTAACGAGAAGCCTCCGTTGCCCACAGGTACTGGTGCATGGAGATCAGAATGCCAGGGAGCTCCCACGTAATCCCATTGAAGGTAATCTTGTATTTTATGAGCAGAATTGGAACAAAACACCGAATCATACTGAAATACTAGAACCTTTTCACTCCGTATTCGTTGCCAAAATGAAAGATTAGTGAATAGACGATTTGTAAAATCTTGCCAGTTAGTGGTGATTGATAGTTCATCCAATTCCTCTAGGATAATTTTTCCCGTTGAAACGTATGGTTTCAGACCAGTTGAATTGGATAAAAAGTAAAAGTTTTGTTTACTATGAAATATTTGGATTGGCCAAGACGTGGGAATATGTTGCAATACATTGAGAATAATCGTGATCAGCAAAGCGGATATCCGAAAATCGACAATGCTGGCAGAGTTTGGATAAAAGCCAGTTTCTAAACGCTGAAACTTATTACATTCTGTTTTCCATGTGCTAACCGTCGTCGTCCTGTTGAATGTGTTAAGTAATGAAATACGACGAATATTATAGATACGAAGAATAATAAAAATAGTAAAAGCAATCAATAACAAAAGAAGGAACGAATATTTCGAGGACGAAATTAGCATGATTATAGAATAATAGTCAATATGAATATATGAAAAACTGTCATTTTTGCCATATAGAAAATGAATTCCTAAATTATACATAACAATTATGATAAACAAGCAAATTTTTGAGTATAAAGAAGTATTGTAACAGCGGCTAGAAAATCGTTGTCCAGTATAAAGAACAGAAAGAATGGGTTTACTTTTGCATTTTGTTCTACAAAAGTAAGTTTGTGTGATTCTTTTCTTTTATCTAGCTAAAGATTAGTTGTATATATTTTCTAGGTGCTGTTACAAAAAAATTGTACATCATAAATTCTCTTGGAGCCTGACAGATAATAAATTCTTCCATCAGTAGGTTTTCGCGTGTGGTACAATTGAGTTGATGAAGAGCTCCTTTCATACAAAAAGATCTTGTGCAAATATAGTTGCGTATAATTTACAATAACATGTTGAAAGTGAGTAAGACAGACGCACGCAAAATTTTGATCACTATATTTTAGAAAACAAGCCGATAAACAATAAGGGTGAGTCTAATGTAATTTTGCTAAAACAAAATGCACTTGTCTTTTATTTGATCTGAAAAAAAGAAAAAACGTATTTGTTCCGGTTTTATTAAAGTATTTTGATGCAGAAGTAAAAAGAAAGAGCTCTGTTACTTGTGCAAGGTACGCTAATTCTACGTTCTGCACTGTACTCTATAAATCCTTTTAAACTATAACCTTGTTCCGTAAAGATTTAAAAAAGTTATGAAAGGTACTTCGACTATAACGATCGTTCCCTGTGCAAAATTTTGTTGCTGAGTCGCTACGATCTGTATTTCTTAGAGCCAAATGCTCTGTAAACTACTATCCGTTTCAAAATAAGAAGTCCGCCACTGTATTTCGAATAAATATTGAACCAAGAGAGCTGAAAACGTACGGTTTTCAGTTTCTAAAACTAGACACAGGCGGACATAAATCTATGGAAAAATATGCCAAATCCATCACTTTGAGGTGGTGTGATCATCGGGTATTGGTATCCATACCGAAATACCGAGACCGAAAATACTGAACTTCGGTATTTCCGACTTCAGAAAAATTAGCGTACAGGTCCAATATGTAACAGAGATCTTTTTTTTTACTTCTGCTTCAAAATTTAATGAAACCGCAACAAATACGTTTTCTCTTTTTTTTGACGGCTTGTCCAGCTAACGATCCTCTTTTTTTGCTCTTTTTCAAAAAACTATTGCAACTTTTTGATTTTCTACATAGCGTGAATCAACTTTGACTGCGTTATGAGTTCTCTAATTTTATATGAAAATACGCAAACATGGATAATTTCACGTAGTAGAGGCTTTCACTATGTTTTTGACCTTTATTCGAAAAGCGAACGTTGCCACGAGATTCAGCGTGGGCGAGACGCCATGTTTCCATTTACTTTTAAGTTTCCCCAATTTGGGAATAGAGAGTTAGGTTCTGGTTTAATATTTATTTAAAATACAGTGGCAGACACCGTATTTTGAGAAGGATAGTTGTTCCACTGCATGACTGAGTAATTTGTGATCAGTTTGTCTCATCAATGTTTCTTAATTTTATTCATAATGCATCAAAACAACAATAAAAGATATCACAGGTTTAAAGTTTCTTAGCAACAGGAATACTAGCGACAGTATATTCAATTAGTCGTTCTTCGGATTATGATCGCTTCAACTAAATACGCAATCACCGACGATCAAAGTTACACGCAAGAATAAGAACGATCTATCTGACTTGAGAAAAAGACATCGTTAGCAGTTGGATATCGGCTTATAGTAATTACATTCTTTTTCTTTTGAAAAAAAGCTCACATTCTGAGAAATATGTACGCTCTTGATGTCTGCATGTTTCTTGGCAGAGCGGAATGAGAGTCCCCTCACATGTCTACCCTACATGATTAATTAATACAGAAAGAACATCTCATAAACAAATATATATGTGTGTAGTTCTGTCTCAGTAAAAATAATTTTTGACTCCACATCTAATAGAGTCACATTGGATAATTTTGATAATCGCCTAAAACTTTTCAGACATTTTGAGCATTTTTAAGTCATCTTTCACCGGAGAAAATCAGTATTATGCAGGTAGATAGAGCAGACTCTTAGCTATCTACTGATGTAAAAATTTTTTTTTAAAATTCGTTAACATTAATTGGTTCTATCCAATTTCCAGTGAATAGGTTTAGAATTATCATAATTCCCCCATTTAGGGTCATTGTGATAACACAGCTATTTTTCATGGGGTAATTATGATAACTACAGCCAAAATAGCTGGAATGAAGTTAAACCATTTAGTTTCAACAGGAAACCTGGAGTAAACTGACTAAAACGTTCACCGTCTTGTAGAGAATTTTTTGTTCTATCTTCCATATGAATTGTCAGTCATTTGGACTTAATCTAAATTAATTAATTCGAAATTACGAAAAGTAAAAGACATAGTCATTTTTTTCATTTGTCTTCTTTGGGGTAATTATGATAACACAGCGATTTTTCATGGATAATTATGATAATCCCGTGTAAATCACACGGATAGACAGGAAAAAATCTTCACCGTCTCTCAGAATCCAATTCGATGCTATACTTAATGACAAAGTTGTTCAGTATCTTAGAATCTATCACATATGTGAAAACTGCGAAAAAAAAGAGTATTTTCAACAAAATAATAGGCATATAATAGAGCTAGAATATTTTAAGCGCATTTTTGTGCAGTCAAATTAGCAGAATCATTAAGCTACAGCCTAAATTAGCAATTAGATTATCGATATTTGAAACTTTTCATGTACACTATAAAATCCTCTTCCTATTGACAGAAAAAAAATTTAAAAAACATCATATCGAACGTTAATTATTTTACTTAGCAAAGAATTGGTGACAGCCTAAAAACTCTAATTTTCGTAATACTCGCTTTTCGGTAGATTTTTAAAAGTTTTCTAAAAGCAAATATTGCCACGAGACTCAGCATGGTCGATTAGCCATAGTTCATCCGTTCCCAAGCCTACAAATAGCCACCGGGTGCCAGTGGTATGACCCGTAGAAAATCTGATAAAGCGCCCGAACTGCGGAAAAGCAACGTCTCTCTTGACTCCCATGCGAAAGAGAACACTTCGGACTATCGGTCCGTTCATACAATCCTATTGAAGGACTTTCATACATGGCCTAATTTTCCAAAGAACTCCTCGAAAACAAAAACATTCTAAAACATATTTCTGATACCCATCATACTATTAATTGAGAAGAGTTTAAAATTTTATTAACAAATTCAAACTATTATCGGTTACTCATTAAAGAATCTTTAATAATATTAGGATATCAGCCAAAATTAAATAACTCAGTACGTTCAGTTCCCCTTTTCATATATCCCAATGGAATTTCCAAAAAATTGTTACCCGATCTAGGAGGATAATTCATCGTTTTAACAAAATAACATATGGCATTTTTGACCGTGTGTACCGCATAGTCTGTTCATTGTTCTCGATTTTAAAAGAATGTCTATTTCTCGCTTTCTTTCTCTCGTACTAGAAAAAAAAAGAAAGTATTTTACTCCCTATATTTAGTTGTTCAGTCATATTCGTTTTAACTTTACATCGTGTTAATCGTCTCTATTATCTTGATAATGAAAATTACAATTTTCGAAACGTCGACTTTATTTTTATAAAAAAGTTTATTTTAAAAAAAAGAAATTTTTAATTATAATTTTTATTAAATAAAGATGAATCTAAACACAGCTGCTGTTACTATCTTATCAATTCTAAAACTTCTACCCATGAACAAATATAATGTTTTAAAGTGATAAGCTTCCCTAGTTATCTTACCGACTGCAATATTTCAGCCATTTCAATTCCTGATTATCGAATCAAATGCTATAAATTATTCCATTCATACAAAATATATATTTAATAATGCCCTTCCATCTTTTATATTTATATATTTTGGTTTTTTCGATATGTAATCTTTCATTCACTTTTGTATACCTCTCACGTTTTTATCACATTTTCATCTTGTTCTCTGACTGTTAGCTAATCGTCATAAATTCCTATTTTTTTCGTTTTTTCTATTTCTAGAAAGACATAATTCATCACATAAACCACTGAATTTTTGTACTTGTCTTCTATATATGCAATTTTGGCTAGACACGTGCCATAAAAGTGATACAAAAACCTCTAAATACTATTTTTATAGGTTTTCATATGTACTCTTTCCAATGGTATGATTTACAAACTTCAAAAACATTTTTAGTCGGGTTTTCCAGAGACCGGATCTTGAAGGGAGCATGGGAAGAAGAGTGGGATGCAACAAAACAAGAAGTTCAAGAAAGACGGCTAAACTAAATGCTCTTTTTCAATCGCTTATCTAATGTTGTAGTCAATTAATTTAACGATTCATTCTACTTTCACTGTGCTGTTTTGGTCCTGCAG